TATACTGATGGGGACGGGGCAGGCGCAGGTCCCGCTGGAAGGCAGAGACCAGGCGCTGGGGCGGCAGGAAGAGGGTAGATGCCAAGTCCAGGCACAGCAAGCCCAGAGGACCAGGCCTGGACCCCTGTGGGGCAGGGAAGGTCACTCAGGGTCAGTGGAGAGCCTGAGGACAGAGCTGAGGAACTGGAGTTTGAGGGGTACTGGGGAAGCCCTGGCTCCTTTTGGGGTCTCTGCTCCAGGCCTGAGGCCTTCCTCTGCTCCCCCAGGCTCAGAAGGGGCTGATCTGGCCTCACATGAAGGAGGACTCTAGAATGCTACCAAGTTGGGGCCAGGGCCTCCTGAGGGGACAGGCCCACTAGGGTCTCAGTCAGAAAAGAATTTTCAAGCAGAGCTGGGAGCCTTGGTCAGTTGGTCAGAAGGGGTTCTCTGGGAGGAGGCATTTCCCAATTTCTACCCCCTGTTCTCCAAGGCCCCCATGGCGGTGGTCTTCCCACCTTCCATCAGTACCCTCTGCCTCAATTTGGGAAAACCCGAGAACCCCTAGACAAGCCATCAAGCTGTTGGTGAGCTGATGGTGGCCGGCTGCTCACCAATCTGCTGTCTGAGTCTCCCCCGCCCAAACTCCATCTTCCCAGGGCCTCCTGGAGGGCATGAAGTCATAGTTTCCCATAACCCGGCCCGGGGTGGGCGTTCCCTGCTGGGCCCAGAGGAGGGTCCGTCCCTCCTGACCCCTTTGCCCTGTACTCGGCAGATGCCAGAAGCCTCTGTGACAACCAAGGCCACCCCGTGAGTGAATGCCTTCCCTCCCACATCCTGAGGTTTGGAGGACACTTAGCTAACATCAGAGGCTCTGCCCACCCATCTCCAGACAAAGCCTGTGGCTCTCCCACCGGATCCCCGTGGAGACAGGGCCCGAGTCGCCCTGGGAACAGCCAACTGTGGCTGGAGCACGGCCCTGCTGGGCATGTCAGGAATGAGGCACATCTGGAGAAGCGTTTGCCGAGACCGTTGCCAGCAGGGCCGGACAGCGCCCGGGCCTGAGCGGCCTCAACCCCACCCAGGGCTCAGGCGCTGGGGCAGGGAGCAACCCCCTTATTTAGCCTGGCTCAGGCCTGTGGGCTCTGGAGGCTGAGCCCGTGTTGCTGTCATGGGAGGGACATTGGAGCCTTCAGAGAGTGAAGTGACAGCGCTGCCCAGTCAGGACACACTGGGGGAAGAGCTGGGGTGCGGACAGTGCCCCGCCACAGAGCCCAAGTTGCAGGCTGACTGGGACTGCAGGGGCCGGTGTACTGGCTGCTTGCGCAGCTTCCCTGTGTGCTCCTGGCCCTGTTCCCACCCCCCTCCCCCATTATGCAGAGAAGTTGGAGGCCGTGCCCTCACTTCCACCCCCACCCATCCTGGCACCCCTGGCTTGCAGTCCCAGCCCTTGTTCTTGTCTCTGAGCTCACAGAGGTGGGTTTTCTGGTAACCAGGTCAGACGGGGGCCCTTCCTGACAGGTGGGCAGAGAACCAGCTGGGCTCTGGGTTAGGTGGTCCTGAGTTCCAACCCCGGGTCTGCCTTTCCTTGGCTAATTGTGTACAGCCCGAGCCATCTGGGGTGCAAGAAGGGGAGCCCCAGCCTTTCGGGCTGTGGGAAGGGGAGCCTGAGCCATCCAGGTTGTGGGAAGGGGAGCCTCAGCAGGTTGCTGCTTCCTTTCTTCCTTCCTTCTCTGAGTGGTCTGGATTTGTGACAGCTACAGAGCAGGGGTGGGGTGGCTAGGGCCTTCCTGGGTCTGGGCTCCAGTGGTAAACCTTCCCTTTTTTTCCCAAATGGTCAGGTCTGAGCCTGCCTGTGACTGCAGGGGCTGGTGTACTGGCTGCTTGCGCAGCTTCCCTGTGTGCTCCTGGCCCTGTTCCCACCCCCCTCCCCCATTATGCAGAGAAGTTGGAGGCCGTGCCCTCACTTCCACCCCCACCCATCCTGGCACCCCTGGCTTGCAGTCCCAGCCCTTGTTCTTGTCTCTGAGCTCACAGAGGTGGGTTTTCTGGTAACCAGGTCAGACGGGGGCCCTTCCTGACAGGTGGGCAGAGAACCAGCTGGGCTCTGGGTTAGGTGGTCCTGAGTTCCAACCCCGGGTCTGCCTTTCCTTGGCTAATTGTGTACAGCCCGAGCCATCTGGGGTGCAAGAAGGGGAGCCCCAGCCTTTCGGGCTGTGGGAAGGGGAGCCTGAGCCATCCAGGTTGTGGGAAGGGGAGCCTCAGCAGGTTGCTGCTTCCTTTCTTCCTTCCTTCTCTGAGTGGTCTGGATTTGTGACAGCTACAGAGCAGGGGTGGGGTGGCTAGGGCCTTCCTGGGTCTGGGCTCCAGTGGTAAACCTTCCCTTTTTTTCCCAAATGGTCAGGTCTGGCCACAGAGGCCCCTTCACATTACAGGAGATGGTGGCAAATGAGGTGCCTGTTCTGGCCATGCCTGCATTCTGATGGCGCCTCCTGGTGACAGCAATGCCCTGTCCATAGAGTGAGGCTGCAATGGTGACGTTAAGGCATGCTGGCAAGGTGGGGGCAGGGGGAGAGTCGGATATTCAGAAGTTGGTGTCCTCAGGACCCTTGTCTCATCCTGAGATTGGTGGGTGCCTACTCTGGGCACAGGTGTTTGCCCTAACTGTCACCCCTAGCCCCCCACTTCTTGCCCTGCTCCAGAGCAAGGTGGGTGCCGTGTACGTATTCACTGCACAGCACGGGCCCCCGGCTGCAGTGTCCACGCAGAGCCTGGGGCGCTCACACCAGGACAGAAGCTTCCTGAGGGCAGGAGCTGATCTGCCTGGCTCCTAGCTGTCTCCAGCACAGTGTTGGCACACTCTGTGTACTAAGCAGGGGTGTTGGGTAAGCTGTGAAGTGCCAGGGACTCACCACACCACACCCTCAGCTGCGTGGATCCCAACCGGCCCACAGATGCTCTCGCGGACACTTGGGAGGGCTCAGGCCCCTGCAGGGTTCCATTTGCCGTGTCTGCCATGAACAGCACCACACCAGCCTGGGTCCCCCTGCCCAGCCCCCTGCCTCCTTCCTGAGAAGTTAGCCCTGCAGCAGGCAGAAGGAGGCAGGGCATGTGTGGATGCTGCCAGGGGCCAGGGGTGGGGCAGTGGGTGCAGGGGAAGGAGGAGGATGACTTCATGTCCCTCGGTGGACGTGGTCTGCAGGAGGCACCCCAGGGGGCTGTAGCCAGAAAGGAAATGGCCCTGTTCCTGGAACCCTGGTCTGAGGGGCACCTAACTCCGCCCTCAGAAACCTGGTCTGAGAGAAACAAGGCCGTCCCCTGAGGCCTCCATGTGAGAAAATCCTCACCCTGCAGAGAGAGCTCGGGCTGGAGCCTCCGGCGCTGACCAGAGTACTCCTCGTGGAGGCCAGAATTGCCCCTGAGTGTTGGGCCCCTGCCAGGGGCGTTAGGGAGCCTCCCGGGGCATGGACTTCTGAGCCGGGGCTGCCAGAGTAGAGGATGATAGGGAGCGGCCCCACTTCTCAGGGGGCCGGCTTCCTCTCTGGGATGGTTAATAAGGCACTGATTACATCCGGGGGCCACTCTGTGCAGGCAGGGCTCTGGTGGCACACAGATGCCACCGTAGTGCACGCATCCTGTACTTCCAGGTGCTTAGGGGCGCTTAGGAGCACGCAGCTCTGCCCTCCCCCCCACTCCACTGCTGGCCCCCTGAGTGCCAGCACTGCAGCCGGGCGGGACACGGCTGGTAGGCGCTCACGTCATCCTCTGCAGGGTGGCCCCTGGACAGGAGGTACGGGACCTGTGTGCTCATCCCCACCGCACCCCGACACACACAGCCCTTCCCCTGCCTGGGCACAGTATCCTACCTGTGAACATGGAGATGCTGACACTCCCAGGAAGGACTGTCCTGGTCAGGCGGGAGAGGAGGGCCCCATAGCACCCTAGAGCCTTCCTTAGGGGCCAGCGAAGGACCCTCCCTCAGGGCCTGACTGCTTGGGGCTCCCTCTACATCGGCTCATCTTCTACCACTCACAGGCAGCTGCAAGTGGCCTGGCCTGGGGCTCCGGACCTGCTTCTCCAACTGGAGTCCAATCTGCCCTGGGCCGGGGGTCTGCAGCACGGTCTCTTCCCCATTCCCAGTCTCCAGCTTGTGTGGGCGGGGAGCTTGCCTGGCCCCGCCCCCTCTGCCTCCCATCTCCTCACTGATCTTTCCCTTTTGGCTTCTTGGCTGTGGATCCAGTCCTGCCTCCTCTAGGACTGGACCCCCGCTTCACCTCCCAGGGCTCTGTCTACACTATCTCTGTCTCTGGCTTGGGATCTCTTTCTTTCATGTTGGCTTTTGCTCGGATCCTATTTCCCTGTGGCTCTTCCTCTGTCTGCCCTCTCGTCCTTGAAGCGGTCCAGCCCGAGGTGGGGCTCCCTGGTGACCTGCCAGCCTCACTGCCTTCCTGAGGACAGTCCTGACCTGTCTCTATGTTTCCCAGCCTACCCTCAAATCTGGGAGCTTCACATGGCCTCGCCTGTCTCGGGCCTGCCTTTGACCGCGGCATGGAGGGTGGGCCACAGCCAAGCCTCTGTGCCTTCTGGTGCCTTTGCGCCCCCATCTGCTGAGCCCTGGTTGGTGGGGCTGGGCCAAGGCTGGGATGCAAGAAGCTCAGGCTGCCCCTCGGAGCCCTGGAACCACAGATGGCAGACAAATGCTGCCCTGGGGTTGGGATGGGGATGCCAAGCAAGCAGGTTCATGGTGCCCGCCTCCAGGGAGGGCAATGTCCACCCATGGAGTCCAGCTGCCCACCCTGCCCCCTCCTGGCACTTGGCTCTGCCCTCGGGCACCCCCTGAGCTTTGCACGCAGGGCGGGGACACCTGGATTTCTGGCCCCCTGAGTGGGGCCAGCTGGGAGGAATTTCCCAAAGCCTATTAGAGCTAGGCTGCCTCCTGCCTGCCTCCTCGGGCTGGGCAGGGCCGAGGGCGGAGGGAGAGAGCGGGAGGGGAGAGGAGGAAGGAAAAGAGTTGGCAGGCCGACAGCAGAGCTGTGTCTGCATCCCTCGCCCAGAGGAGCCCGTGCGGTGCGGGGCGGGCCAGGAGAGGAGAGGCCTTCCTCCCTTTGTGCTCCCCCCGCCCCCCCCGGCCCTATAAATAGGCCCAGCCCAGGCTGTGGCTCAGCTCTTGGAGGGAGTCAAGCGCCAGGCAGCTGTCTCGAGCCAAGCCCCCCTGCCAGCATGGCCAGCGAGTTCAAGAAGAAGCTCTTCTGGAGGGCAGTGGTGGCCGAGTTCCTGGCCATGACCCTCTTCGTCGTCATCAGCATCGGTTCTGCCCTGGGCTTCCGTTACCCCGTGGGGAGCAACCAGACAGTGGTGCAGGACAACGTGAAGGTATCACTGGCCTTCGGGCTGAGCATCGCCACGCTGGCCCAGAGCGTGGGCCACATCAGCGGCGCCCACCTCAACCCGGCCGTCACGCTGGGCCTGCTGCTCAGCTGTCAGATCAGCATCCTCCGGGCCATCATGTACATCATCGCCCAGTGCGTGGGGGCCATCGTCGCCACTGCCATCCTCTCGGGCATCACTTCCTCCCTGTCCGACAACTCTCTCGGCCGCAACGACGTGAGTGGGGTGGCCCCGGGCTCGGGGGTTCTATACAGGTGCCCAGAAGACACCCAGTCCCATCCTCTGCCCATTGTGCAGATGGGGACACCAAGGGACAGTGAGGACACGAGGTTGCTGGAGGTCATGTAGAGTTGGGATCAGAGTTGGGGCAGCAGCTCAGCCATGCCTGCAGCCAGGGGCCTATTTTCTGCCAGGTGCTGTGGAAAACTAAGAGCCAGAGAAGAATGGTCTTGCCAGCGTCCCCTGTGGGGCACCTATTGTGGGGAATAAGCTTTGGAGGCAGCTAACATTTGGGCCAGAAGTTCCTCACCCCTGGGCTGTTGTTCCCCAGCCCTCATCAGCTCTGCCTGTGCAGCCAGCTCGCTCCGCCTCAGCCTTGTGCCCTGGAGAAACTGCCCGCGCTGCTCTCCCCAGCCACCCTGAGCCCGGTGCCTGGCATGTCTGTAGCCAGTTCTGCAGGTGCACGAGCAGGACTCTCCTGCCGCACAGACCTTGAGCTGCCCCCCTTTTCACACGGGGCCCCAAACAAACTGCTCCCTGGGAATTAAGGAATTGATCTGCCCCTGGGAATTGGACAAAGATAAGGGAGTAGAAACGCTTTCTGGGCTGTGCGAAGGTAGTTTTCCTGGATTACGGTGGACTGGGGAGCGAGGGCTGGGCTCCACGCTCTCTGGGCACTGAGAGGTGTGGCATGCGTTTGCATGTGTGAGGGTGTATGTGCATGCACGTGGTGGCCAGCATGGGTCTCTGAGCTTGCGTGAGCTGTGTGCAAATTTGTACCATCAGCCAAGGGTGTGAGGGGGCAAGTGTCTAGCCGAATGCGACTCTTGGCTTGACGGGGCTCTGCCTGTGGTCATTGATGGCAAGCAGATGTTGGTGACTGGGTGGCAGCTGCTGAGAAGAATTCCTCCTGGGCCGCTTAGCACAGCTGATTCGCCGTTGGCGGCAGCTGCCTGCTGTTGCAGACCTGGGCTTTGCCAGCTCCCCGGCCCAGTGTAAACCCAGACAGTGCTCGGAACACAGTAGGGGGCCGTTTGACCTGAGAGGCTAGCTGGGGCTTGGAGGATGCCTTCAGAGAGCCTGAGCGACAGGCAGCAGGTTTGGGATGTCCTCTCAGGGAGCGAGAGAGGCCAAGAAGGGAGAGAGAACCAGGTCTAGTGAAATAAGGCTGGCACACCTCTGGGCCGGGCAGACAGGTGCGGGGACTCGGAGATGGTGTGGTGATGACGCAGGTGTCTTCATGCTTCCCTGACAAAGTTCAGATCCTGGAGATGGCAGTGGGGAGGCTAGGTGACAGTCTGGTGCTGGCCTAGCCCTGTGACAAGGGGTTCGTGCTTCTTGTGTGTAAATGACACCTGACCCAGCCCCCTCTGGTGTTGCCCTCTGCTCTGCCTGATTGAAGATTAGCCCTGCTGTCTGGAGTTTAGACTTTAGCCAGGGAGATGTGGCTGTGGTGGGTCTAAGGGACAGAACACAGGCAGGCCATGTCCCTGTAGACCTCAGTATCTTGAGTGGGAGCAGAGCTGGGTGACCTCAGGGAGGTCATCATGCTTCACTGGGGATGGTGGCAGTGGGGAAAGGTCCTCAGAGGGTGGGCAGAGACACCCAGGCCTTCTGGTCCTGTCTTGTCATTTTCATGTCAAGGGACAGGCAGGAACTATGCACCTGCTAGCAAAAGCTTGCACTCCCTACCATGACCATGGGCATGGTAGCAGAGGTGGGAAGGTGGTGCCCCTCCATACCATCTAGATCTGGCCACGCCCTTCTCTGGTGCCCCAGCCCCTCTCTGGCCTCCATTTTCCAGAGTTACCCAGATAACTGGGCTGAACAGGCTGCAGATGGGCGAGAAAGAGGAGCAGCCACAGCCCAGTGTGGATTCAAAGCCCGTCTACCATTAACTTGCTGGGCTTCCTTGGAGCTGGGTACCTTGAAGATCAAGAAGGCTCCTTGATCTTGAGTCATCTCTTGGCCACGCCCAAGCTACCAGCCATTTTGATTTGAGCTTGTCACCCACCTCAGGGGGGGGGTCTGGCTGGTGAACCCACATATCCATGCTGAGCACAAGTGGAGTATGCATTATGATGGGGGCTCCGGTCTTGCCCTGTCCAGACAACAGAAGTTTGGGGTTCAGTAATATAAGTCTGAGAAGGTTTCCGCCCTGCAAAGAACTCCCACAGACCCTGGCTCTGGGGTCTGCAGGGTGGCCTCCCTGCCTCAGGAGGGCCAGAGAATAGTCGGGGTGGGTGCCGACGTGCTCTTTCCTCTATGCCCCATGAGCAGGCCCCACCCTGGCCAAAACTTGGGTGGGGCATATTGTCGGCATGGAGATTTCCAGGGAAAATAGGGCAAGAAGTGGCAGGAAGTGGTTGGGGTGAGTCAGGGGGTGTCCCTCAGGGACACGGTGGGGACAACTTTCTCTAGACTGAGTCAGGGCTCAGGATACGCCCTGGAGAGACTGTCCAGCCTGCAGGGTGCTAGCTGGTTCTAAGACCCAAACTCCCATTTTGGCCAAGGGTGAGAGGCTCTAAGCCAGAGGAGGGGGGCACCTTGGCCTGTCCCTGCCGGAGCCCATGCTCTGACATTTTTGTGGCCTAACACAGTTGACTGGCCTATGCGGCCCTGGCTCCCATCTGTGAGACAGGGATGCAGCAGGGCGTGGCGGGGCTCTGGGAAGGGGAGGATGCTGGTGTGTTGGGGAGTTCAGGCATTTGCTGGCTTTTTCATTCCATCTCCTTTGGCTTGCATGTGCCAGTGTGCCTGGGACTGCTGGGTGCTGAGTGCAGGGCAGAGCCGGCCTGGCTCCCTGCCCCGGGAAGCCCACAGTCCAGGGCAAGATAAACCCATGCACAGCTGTCCTCGATACCAGCCGGGCAGGAGGCAGGTGTGATAAGAGGTGTCGGGCGGGTCTAGGAACCTTTGACCTTGATGATGAGAGGGCCAGGAAGCCTTCAGAGAGGCAGCGACACATGAGCCTGAGCAGGGAGATCCCAGAGAGGGAAGGGGCTTCCTGGTGGAGAAACTGTGAGCACAGACAAGGAGGGAGAGGAAGGCCATGGCCCCAGAGTCGTCGGACTGGGGGGTCATGGTGGGAGGCTGGAGCTCTGGAGGTGGTGAGGCTCTGGATTCCACCAGTATCTGGCTGCACCCTGGAGGGCAGGATTCCAGAGCCTGTGCTGTCAGCTCGGGAGGGCTCAGGCAGAGGGCAAACCATTCTCTTTGGGGTCTTCTCACATGCAGTCCTCGGACACTGCCTGTCCGTGGGGAGACAGGCCTGCCTGCTGGGGAGATGCTTCTACCTGTTGTATTGGGGGCCTGATCTCTGCCCTAAACTCTCCCCCTTTCCAGGTGCTTGGTCCTCAGTTTCCGCAACCATAGAGTGTGAGTCTCTGTCCCCCATGCTATCAGTTCTTCCAGGACGGAGGCCTCTGCCCTCCTCCAGAGTACAGGGGTGGGCTGGGGAGAGGGGAGCCAGAGTTTCCGATGTCCCTGCCCAGCCCGGCTTGTGTGGGGAGGGGGCAGGGGCTGCGTGGCAATGCCACAGCTGGGACATATAATTACTGTTTCCAACCCGAACCTGATGAGGGGGAGAGCACAGAGGCAGGAGCTCTGCGGTGCAGACTTCCCTCCCCATGGAAAATTCTGCGGCTGTTTCCCCCATTAGCACGCTCGGAGCAGCCTGCCCTCTCTCGTGTTGCCCACCTGACACTTGGCCTAGCCAGGGCAAAGCAGGTCTCTGAGAAAGGATACAGCCCACCCAGGGCTCTCCCCCAGCCCACCCTAGGCCATGACCTCCGCACACCTTGCCAGGCAGCCTTCGAGCAATGTGAGGTGAGGCCATTAGATCATCGCAAGCCAGTTCTGTGCAGTCCTCCCAGCCTGACCTCGGGGCCCAGATGGAGCCCCCCTCTTTCTCTAGGGCCCACCCAGCTGGTGTGCTTTAATGGAAGCCCACTGGGCCTTTCCCCAGGCAGGCCAGACATGCCTCCTGTTTATCCCTTTGGGTTTGGCTAGGAAACCTTTCCCGGTGCAGAGAGAGCCCTCAGTTCCTCGCTGGCAGAGTTCCGGGGGGAACTCTGGACGAGGACGAGGGTCCCCACCTTCTGGAAGTGTCAGTGGGTCAAGGGTCTCCCAAGTGGCTGGATGTGAGCCCCCACAGCTGCAGGTGTGGGCAGGAAATGCCATTCATGAGGGCCCATGTGTGGCCTGGGGCCATCAGGCCCCTCCTGGGGACCAGTGGAGCTCCTTGCCCACGGTAGAACGGTACATGGTGCCCAGGGGATAACCAAGGAGCTACACTCACTGGGGTCCACAGCCTGAGGCTGAGACCTCAATTCAAAGGAGCAGAAAGGGCTGAAAAACACCTCTATCCCCAGAGCCTGAAATTCCACCTTAGTCCTGGAAGGAAGCATTTTGTTGCTGTTTTTGCCAGAAGTCACACACGTAGCAGAGAGAGACAGGGAGACAGAGAGAGAGGGAGAGAGCACCCTCACTGGGCGTGGTCATGTGGCAACCTTTCATTGTTTTTCCATCTTCTTGGGGATGTGCCCAGTGAGTTTTCTCAAGCCACTGGGTCTGGGATTCGAACCGTGGTCAGCCATGTGGGAGCTGGCTCCCTTAACCACAACACTGCCGGGCTGGCCTTCTGTACTGTTTAACTGGGAAGTGCGGCCTCTGTCAGTGAGCTCCCCGTTATTAGGGATGTGCAAGTAGAATCTGCCTGTGGGAGCTGTGCAGGTGTGCGGTGGGTGGGCGGGAGGGGCTGTGACACCAGCTGTGTGCCTCGCTGTATATTCCTGGCAGTTCAGATGGCCTTAGGAGGGGGGGCCTGTGGGGATCCTGGCCAGGAGGGCGAGCAGCCGAATGTCAGGCAGGGAGGAATCCTGGAGACCCTGGGGCAAGAATTGGGCCTTGGTCTCCAATCTACTGATGGGGAGACTGAGGCCCACCGAGGCAAGGAGACTTGTCAGGGTTGCACAGTGGCTCATGGCAGGGCAGGG